CCCCAGATAGGTAGGCCATCCTTTCTACAGGATAAAAAGCTGGGGCAGTTTATCTACAACACAAAAGACCTTCACCCTCAGGATAGGATTAGCCCATTCCACCACATGGCACCTGGAAAGATTGCATCATCCAGCAAGGTTCAACCAAGCCTGGGACTCAAGACAGCCTACAAAGGTATCCCTGCATGGCCCCATGGGAGCCTGACAACCAATCAAAATACATGCCCTTGCCACAGGGACAGGAAACAAGTTCAAAGCCCAAGAGAGGGTATAAATCCCCTCCTCTCTCTCTCACCCATGTGCTCTTTTTTGTCCTCAAACCATGTGGTCCTGTTCACCATTAAACCATCTTTCCAAACAGCCTCCATGTTTCCAGTGTCTTTCTCCCCACTTGGAACTGAACCCAGAAGGACATTTCTTCTAATAGAATACAAGTCAAAATAGGTGAGAGAATGGTGATAATATCTGCCCTTTCTAGACGAGTTCAAATCAGATGGATTACATCCCAAGGTTCTGAAGGAAGTGGCAGACATGTTCTCAGAACCACTGAACTGTATGTCCCAAAGGTGTTTTTTTCCAAAAGGTAACTGGGCTTTCTCCGTTTTTTTTCCTTCAAAAACAAGTTACTTCTTATCCAAGAAGCTTTTTCAGTTCTATTTCGGTTATCATCCCAGAAACTTCTTCAGTTTGAGAAGAAGTTAAGAAGTGGTTTTTTTTTCAAAGAAAAAAACTAAGAAAGTCCAGTTGCCTTTTGGAAAAAGCAGCTTAGGAACAACAATGACCTAGATGATTGAGACTCTCCATAGACACTGAATGTGGTTTCCATCTTCAAAAAAAGAAAAGAAAAGAAAAATGGATCCAGGCAACTACAGACAAATCAGCCTGACAATTAATACTTGGGAAAATCTTGGAAAAGATAATCAAGCAGTAGAACTGCAAATTCCTAGAAACAAGCAAAGCTACTACTAGAAGTCCCAAAAGTGGTTTTCAAAAGGCAGCTGGATTTCTTTGTTATTTCCTTGAAGACGTTTCTCTTCTTGTCCAATAAACCTTTTCTCTTTAAGAAGAGAAACTTCTTCAAGGGAAAAAAAAACGAAGAAAGTCCAGTTGCCTTTTGAAAAGCTCCTTTGGGACAACCATGACCTGGATGACTGACAATTTTCAAAGATGATTACTAGAAGCCAACATGGGTTTGTCAAAAACAGATCATGCTAATCTTATTGCATTTTTTGACAAAGGAACTACTAGTAAAATGCTGTGGATGACTTCAGTAAGGCATTTAACCACAACCTACTTGTTGGTAAGATAAAAAAATGCATGACCAACAACATCCACATCAGATGGATTTGTAACTGGGCTAACCAGCCACATCCAATGTGCAGTCCTCAATGGAACTACATCGTTGTGGGGTACTCCACAGTATGCATGCAGTGGTGTACCCCAAGGTTCTTACTTGAGGCTCAATACTCTTCAATATCTTCATAAACAATGTAGACAAAGAAATAGGGGAACTCATCAAATTTGTAGATAGCATCAAGCTAATAGAAATAGCAAACATTTTAGAAGACAAGCTTGAAATCCAGAAAGATCTAGACAAACTTGAATACTGAGCCCTATCCAACAAAATGTCATTTAGTGTTGAGAAAAGCAAGGTCTTACACTTGGGTAAGAAAAAATAAATGTGCAGGTATAGAATAGGTGGTACCTGGCTCAAGAACAGTAACTATGAGAGGAATCCAGGGACAACCACAAGTGGACAACTTAAATATGAGCCAGCAGTGTGCTGCAGCTGCCAAAAAAGGCAATGCAGTCCTAGGCTGCATCAAAAGAGGAAAAGTACTAAGATCACATGAAGGATTGGTACTGCTGTATACTGCCTTAATAAGACCACACATCGGAACAGTGTGTCCAATTTTGGTCACTGAAATAAAAAAAGATGTTGAGACTCTGGAAAAGAGTGCAGAAAAGAACAACAGAGACAATTAGGGGACTGGCAGTTAAAACATATGAAGAGGCTTGCAGGAACTGGGTATGTCTAGTCTTATGAAAAGAAGGACTAGGGGTGACATGATAGCAGTCTTCCAATTATTTGAGGGGCTTTCACAAAGAAGAGAGGGTCAACTTATTTTCCAAAGCATCTGAGGGAAAAACAAGAAACAATGGATGGAAATTTATCAAAGGGAGATCTAAACCTAAAACTAAGAAGAACTTAGTGGAATGGGTTGCATTTAAAAATTGTAGGTGCACCCTATGGGGGACATGATAGTATCATGGGAGTATTTGGGAGGCTGCCACAAAAGGAGGATGTCAATTTATTTTCCAAAGCACCAGAAACCATGGATGGAAAGTAATCAAGGAGAGAAGCAAGCTGGAATTAAGGAGAAACTTCCTAACAGTGAGGCCAGTGAAACAGCTTGCCATCTGAAGTTGTGGGTGCTTCATCACTGGAAATAGTATAGGGTCTCCTATTTGAGCAGGGGGTTTGACTAGAAGACCTCCAAGGTCCCTTCCAGCTCTGTTCTGATTGACTAAGTCCCAGAATTCTCCAGCCAAAATGGCTGGCTGGGGAATTCTGGGAGTTGAAGTTCACTACATACCTTGAAGTTGCTTAATTGGGAAGTACTGCTCTGGAGGAAGAGTGTGAAACCCCACAAGGCCAGTGGTTTCTCTAGTCCTTCAAGGTCAACAAGGCTGGAGGGCTCCCCTGGGATTCTGGCACAATTTTAGACTCTGTTGGGGACTGAAGTCAGGACATTGTCTAAACGAAGGCCTGTGGCTGAGTTGCAGTCCTGCTTCTGATCAAAAGCAGAGTTGTTGCTCAGAGGCAGAACTGAGATTTCTCTGCTCCCAAACAGCCCTAAGCAAATAAGGAATCAGAGTGAGGGCAGCTTTAAGCCTTTCAGTCAACTAAACACTTAACAGCTATTTTGAAACAATATGATGTCAAAGTGGTCAGTGGTAAAGGACCAAGTTCTGCTGCAGACCTAGTGAGCAACTGGAAGACTCCAGGGCTCTCCCTGGGGGGATGGGGGGAAGAATTAGCCTTGACTTATCACATTCAGCCATTTGTCTCCAGAAATGGAAACATGCCAAGATATTAAATGAAGATGCTGTCCAGAGCCATGGAGTTATTCTGCAGCAAGTAGAATTGATGACAATGCAAGAGCCGACAGCTCCCCAGCCTCTTCTGTGGAAACAGCTTACTCCTCCTGCCATAGACTGTCTGATATACATGGGCGGGTTGCCTGCAAGAGCCCCAGACTGATAAACCAAACACCATGAGTCCTTCTTCCTACATCCTCTGGGATAATCTGAAATGCAAACTTTTCACTTGGGGCAAGCAGCACACACACACACACTTGAAACCAGGAACAGCTGCAGGATATGGATGGCAACATCCACAAAGCAGGCAGGTTCAGCGGGGAAGTTTAAACATGCAAATCAAATTTAACAACCGCCTCAACAGAAAATACTTGGAATCCCAGCTTGGTGCTTCAAATAGAGAATGCACAGAAAATTCCAGAGCGTTGGGTCACCACCTTCAGCTTGAAATGGAGTTCCAATCTTGTCTTTGATACAGACAAATGGAAGAAGGCAGAGGCTGGGAACTAAGCTGTTTGGGGGAGGTGGTGGTAGGGTCATGGTGTCATTCCTTTTCACAGGAAGCTTTGCGTCCACACAGACCCCAAGCTTCACAGGCAATGTTGAAGCAATGCAGAGTCTGATCACTTTGCTTCATTGAATTTGGCAGGACCCAAATTCAAATCTTATTCAGGTGAGTTGGAAGCCGGCAAATTATTATCTGTGAGTATAATTGAGATGACTGTGGCAACCACAAGAAAGCTCCATGTGCCTTGGAAGTCTGGAAATAAAAGGGGAGGAGAACAACGAAACCAGAATGACCTTGAATTAAACCTGCTCCTCTCCATATAGCTTCCTCCTCTGACTGGGGGCTTCTTGTCTCTCTTGGCAGAAACACCAGATCAGCCGCGTCAACACAGAACATTTTTCACCAGCTTCCAAACTGTCTGCCTCTTGTGCAAAGATATCTCTCAATTTGGGACACTGGGAGACAAAGCTTTTTTTGTGCCCAATCACCATCTCCTCCTTCTCCTTTCGAAGGAGGGAAGGGAAGAGAAACTGGCTAATAATTCACATTCAATCCTGGCCTGGCCTGAAGCTCCTCCTGTTTCCTAATTGCAGGCTGGATTTGAACATTTTGGCTGCAGGAAGCTGTAACGGACACAAACAGTCCATCTCAGCCCAGCGTCAGAGAGACAGTTGTCCACATTTAGATTTCAAAATAGTTTCTCAAACTTCTGGCTGGTTTTACTTTTTTGTTTTTGGAAATGCACAACCGTTTGAAGTGTGAGAAACAAGGAAAAACAAAAAACACATAAACGGTTACAAAACTATCTTAGCTTGCTTGGTAACGGTCAAAGTCAGAATCCACAGGAAAAAAAGCCATTTTATAGAAGAAATATTAATGCAAATTTACACAAAAGTCATTCCTATCCCTAATTGTTACAATAGAGAGAGGGAGATTTTAAAAGATTTAAGGAAACATTTCCAGTTACTTCTCTTCCATGAACAGGGGGCTGCCTTTGTTATTTAAAGTAGACTTCTGTGCCAAAGCTTAATTTGCCTTACATCATTTTGCTCTTAGCAACCCATTCTTTCAGTTACTACCCCTACAGTTATGCATGCTCAATCACAAGTGTTCTGCAGAAAATGCAGGATTCCTTCTTTAAAGAAGTATTTTATGAAAGCCTCAAGCTACTCAACTGCCAAGGCCATTCAATAGAGAACCCAACTGCCATTCAACAGGAAAGAGATCTTCAGCTATACTGTAATAGGAGAGAGGAGTTAAATATACATTCTTTTGTCCTTCATAAATGATATCAGTCAGTCAGTTAACTACGGATTAACTCCTCCTCAACTCCAAATAAAACAATTTCATATTAGATAGAACAGTGACTGAGTAACTAGGAAACAAATACCTCATTATCTGGGACCAGTTCACTGCTTCCAGGAGTGCTTCCAGGAGTGGAGAAGGAAGACAGGGCCTCCATGCCTGACATAGCATGGGTCTCCTCTTCAGCTTCAGAGGCAGGCAACTCTGCTGGGCTGGATGGTACATCCCTTGAGGTGTCAAATGCCAGGATCAGAAGGCTACTTTCCCACTGAGAAAGATGCTCTTCTAGACTTACATTAAATGGCAAAATACTCTCATCCATCCCTTGGATCACCTGCATAGATTCCTCTGAGGAACTGGGTATCATGGTCCACTCTTCCTGAATAGGCAGCTCCTCTTTGTCTGGACACTGAATGGGGCAGAGCGGCATGGGGAGAGACGAGATCTCTTGTGCAGTTTGTAATGCTGGTATCATCTCCTGGCTGCTGCACACCCACGTGGCTGTTTCAGAGTCATCTCCATCACCAATTAAACTTGTAGCATCTTCAACAGATAGATCCAGAGCTAAGATTGAATTCAGTGAACCTGACAAGGACAACAATGTGAAGTCCGTTGCATTAATAGTGCAGAGACCCATGATGGTGCTGGCAAGGCCCTCTACAGTATCTGGAAGGACATCGCTATCCTCATCCCTAGGCAAAGGACTGAAAGAAGTAGCTTCCCCTTCAAGCCTGCCTGCAAAATCTCCAACACTATCTTGGGCCTCCCATGAGCAATCCACAGGACCTGATGGGCGGGAGTATGCATCTACAAACTTGGCATCCCTTTCCCCTTCCTCTGTTACCTCACTACTCCCACTCTGCCCAAAAAGCAATTCCAGGATCCCAGGATCCATGAAGTCTCTCTCCACAACTGGATCAACTGTTGCCTGCTCAGTTATTTTTGGCTCTTCCTCTTGAAGAAAAGTAGTACTCACTACCTCTTCTGTAGCGCTTACTGGCCACGGCAAAAGCTCAAGCTGGTACCTATTGCTAGTGTCGATAGACTTCCGGTGGTCTAAGGATCCTGTGCGTCTTATGGACTCCTTGGAACCCTGTATCATTTCGGAATCGCTTGGTAAATGTGGCCAAAAATCCCCCATCCCTTCTGTTTCCTCTGGATGGATGGCAAACAGAATGTTCTCTTTGTCTAGCTTTACAACGTCATCCTCAGAGCCCAGTTCAGGGACATCCCAATTTGAAAAGTCCACCATCATTTCTGAAGGATTCAGCTCGTAAGAAGCAAACAGCTCTGGTTCCTCAGGGCTCATCACCCCTTCAATCAGATCAAATTCTTGCTGAGAATTCAGATCCTCAGCAATGGTAGCAAATTCATCCTGGCTCAGGGATGTCCTCTCTGTCCCACTGAACAGAGGAGACGTTTCCTCCTCAGCGACATGAATGCAGGGGGCTTGTGCTCTGCAGCAAGGCACATGAACTGGAACCACAGACTCTCTCCATATCGAGTCCAACTGGCCTTTGGCCTTGTGACTTTTTGCCACTTCCTCAGTCATTAGCAATTCTGCCCTATCCTCTTCCCCCAGAGTAACAGAAGATGAATGATCGCAACAATATTGCGATTCAATATCTTTTGCAACTGCAGGATTGGGAAGCATCCCTTTCTCTGAGTCCCCGGAAGTGTCCTGTTCAGAAAAAGAGTCTGACAGTATCGGCTCTGTTGCACTTGCTACTTGAGAACCAAAAGTGGCATCAAAATCTTCTAGATCAGACACCATGGCTGAGTCAGCCACACTGATTTCATGGTGAGTTAAGTGTTGGGATGGTTTTGCCCCAGCCTCCGAGGGCAAGTCCAAATTCTCCAGTAGGTCTAGCCCTTCTGAAGAAAACGTCACATTTTGAACCTCAAATTCAGTTGGAGCTTCCCCATCTTTCTCCTCCTCATTCATGCAAAGCTTTTCTAGCTCAAGGAACATCTGCACAGAGTCCGTGTCAGAAAATTGCTCTGGGGCAGGAGGACCGAGGCAGAGTTCCAAACCAGAGGCAAATCCTGCCCCTTCCCCTCGGATTGTTACAGCTTCAGCACCGCAAACCCCACCACCCTCTCCAAGAAGAGCGCTAAAGTCTTGATGTGTTTCCTGGGGAACCAGAGCAGAGCTGGCAGCCTGAGGCTCTGAGTCATCCCAGGGTTCTTGCTGGTGCAATGGGTGGTTATAGGTTCCTTGGACTCCAGCAACCTTCTCTACGGCTTCCTCGACAGTCACGAATGGAAGGCATAATTGTCCCCTTTCTTCAGAGATACCTGTCAAACAGCCCTTTGTTTCCTCAGTCGCCTTCCCCTTTTCTGACAGGGAGCCTTCCTCCCACTCCTCAGCTTCCATCATGATCAATCGCTCATCCTCTTCAAATCTCAACTCAGATTCTGTCTTCTCACGGAGACCAGGGCTGAGGAGGACACCCATCCCTGGATCCAGGAGCTCTTCGCTCAGGCAGGGAGACAGGGGCACAGTCTCTATCACACACTCGGAATCATCTGCCTCCATGGTGTCCTGGTTCCCCCGGAGGCCTGGGGCCTTGAGAGGGTTTTTCAGTAGCCTGGGCCATGTTGCACTCACAAGACGATGGCCCTTCCACCTGCCCCCAGTTAAATCGACCACCATGTTTTCTGGTTCCAGAAAGGCCTGGCACTCTTCCTGAGAAAACTCACACAAGGCTTCCCTTGGTGGTCTCGCCTCCTGAAGGTCTGGCAGCCCAGAGGGCCTGGGCACATGCTCCAGGGTCAAGGGTTCCGACAGGGATTCCCTGGGGTCTGAGGGGCTGCAGGTTTCGGCCGCAGTGAGAGACCCAGGCTTCTCTTGCAAGGAGGGGTCGGAAGCAGCCGTTTCGGAGACTTCGCTCAGGGAGGCTTCAATTCTCTCAGCAAACTCAGGGAAATTTGGTGGCATAAACGATTTCCAGGAGCGTCTATTGATATTCTCCTTTTTCTCCAAGTTGGGCCGTCGCCTTGGAGGTGCCGGGGCTGACTTGGAGACATCGCTGCTGAGTTTCAAAGCATCAAAAATAACTCTTTCATCTAACTTTTTGTTCTCTGGTACTTTTGATTCCAGAGCACCGGGAGCCCCTAAAGTCCCGTTGCTAGAAATGGTGCTACTGTCTCCTTTCTCTAGGCTGCTCTTGGAAGGTTGAGTCAGCTTGGAGCCCTGATCGATCTGCTCGTTTATTCTCATGGTGTCATAGATAGACCTTTGGGGAACGTAGCAGTCCTCTATGTAGCCGTCTTCGTCCTCTCCTTTCCCCAAACAAGCAGGGCTCTGCCTTAAACAGTCAGGTCTGCTTAATGGCTTACCCATACTTTAAAAGGGCAAAATCTCAGCAGAGATCGGGAGCAGAAGCGGCACAAAGGAACACTGCAACCCCCGCCGTCCGCTCTGCTTTTAGAAGTCCACGGGCGGCCTTGGAGAGTTGGAGTCCTTAAAATCCCCGGAGAACGGGAAGGCCACGATTTATATTCCGCGTTCGAACGAGGCGGCCCTTCCCCGGGGAAACGCCGAAGCGAGGCCGAGGGCGACGCATTACGCCGCTTCTGCAGGGATGCCGGCGGTCCCGAGCCGGGCGAGAGAGGCGAGCGGGGCCTTCGCCAAGGCGGGGTCGGAGCGGGCCAACGGTCCTGGGCAGGCGGGCCTCCTCCCCAGCGCCGCCCCCCGCGGAGGCCCCAGCCGTTAGCGCCCGCCGGCAAGGAGGGCCCGACGCGTCTCCGACGGCGCCCGCCGAGCACTGCCTCCTGGCGGAACAAAGGCCGGCCTCTCCGGCGCTTCGCTGCCCCGGCCCGCAGGGCTCCGCTCGGCACGGGCGACGGCAAAGCAGCGGCCGGTGCTGCGCCTGGCCCGCCGCCGCGGCTCGGCACGCTGGGCTGGACGGGGGTGGAGCTGCCTGGCGGTCCAGTCGCGGCAAGTTCTTCATGCCGGAGCAAACGGACGGGCGGTGGGCGCTTCTCGGTTGCGCAGCCGCCGGAGGGTCGCGCCTCTTCACGGGCAGGCTCCGGCGCTACGGGCTGGCAGAGGCCGAGGGGAGGGCGCGGGAGGCTGGCGCGGGGCCCCGGGGCCGGGCGGGCTGCGCGCGAGCCCCGCCATGGCCAGCCGCGCAAGGAAACCGCGCCGCTCTCCGCCTGCCAGGAAGTTAGTTGGAGCCTTTTGTGCGGCGCGCTGGCGGTCAGGCCGGCCTCGCAGTGCCCGGCCAACGGTCCGTGCCGAGCTCGGCCGGGGGCGGCATGTCAAGCGGCTCCCGCTCTGCCCGCCTGCCCTTCCCCGCGGGGCTGCAGCTGTCGCGGTCCGCCCTGCGCCCAAACTTCTTGCCGGGGGAACAAAAGGCTGCGCGGCGAGGCCGGTTCGGATGGATGGATGCGGAGGGGGCGGCGGCGGCTGGCTGGCTGGCTGGCAACCGCTCCGCCTCCGCCGCCGCCTCCTCCTCGCCCTCGCAGGGGCGGGCTTGCCGGGCGACTCCGAGCAGCGGACGGTCCGCCCTCGCAAGCTCAGTTCGCGGGCGGATGCCAGGCCGGAGAGGGTGCCGCCAACCCCGACGGGAAAGGCGAGGAGGCGGAGGCCGGTGGGCGAGGGGAGGAAGATGCAGACGCGCCGAGGGGCGGTCGGAGCGGCCGCGAAACCCCGGAACCAGACCGACCCCGCCGCGCCCGCCGCCCGTCCCCAGTGCCGACTCCTCGCTGCTCTCCGGCCTTTAGCCGAGCGGGGGACGGGAGGCCGGCGGCGCGCCATCCCTTTGGGCATCCACAGAAATCGCTCGACCTGAGCTGGGGCAGCTGAAGTGGACATTATAACCGTCCAATAGAAAAGGAAAGCCGCGATTTAGAGCCTGTGCAGAGGGCAAGTTTCCACACCAAGGATGGCCTTTCTCCCTGAGAGGCCAGTCATAGATACATCTGATGAATGAACAAACAAATAAACAAACAATCTACCTTTGTGTTTTCTGAAGCTCAACGACTCATTTTTTACACACACACACACCTCCTATTTTTAAAATTGTGCTGGGCTTATGTGCTTGTGTAGGCATTCCACCCAGGGAAAAGTTTCTATGGGGGTCTGGAGTGCCTCTTGCTCACAGCTTCCCTTGCAAAGCACCTCTGCCATAAGGCTCAGAAGAACCACTTGGCAGCCAGGCTCGCAACAAGGAAAGTTCAGTCCTTAGCACACAAAGGGCCTTTCTCTGGATCTGAATTTGGGCTACCACAATAGCCTCCAAGGCAGATTAAAACTGGCCTAAGCTTTTCCTCTTGTTTAGAAAAGCAGGAAGCAGAAAGTGATGAAAAGTGGTGTGAAAGAGAACCACAAACAGGTGAATTTGGGGAGGGCCATGGAGAGGAAATGCTGCAGAGTCCCCATTTGGGATGTGCTGGCATGAAATGCAGTGCCTACAGCTGGTACTGCCACAGCTGCTAGACACAGATACTTGCCTGGAGCCTCACTGCCAGACCCCATCCACTGACGGCTAAAGCAATGAGAAGCTGCTGCCGAGCATGAACACTTATCTGTGCCTTGGCAGCTTCCCCAGTCAATGATCACCTGCGAATGATGAAGATCAGCAGCTAATAAGCTGCCTTTCCAGCCCCAAGAAAGAGCACTGGGACTTTTGAACAATGTGCTGAAGAAGATGCCTGATAATGCTGAGGACAGCCAAGCAAAAAAACAGGGGCTCATCAGGCAAATCAGCCCAGATTTCTCACTCAAGGCACCAATGCCCAGTCTCAAATTCTCCCAACGCTCTCGAGAAGGCACCAGTGCTGGGAAAATGGAAGGAAAGAGAACAACCAGCATTAAGGTAGTTGGACTCAATTATAGTGGCAGGGGGTGTCCCATAGGCAGGTTGGGACCCTCCTGGAGAAAAACCATCCATCTAAGAGTCAACAGTGACTTGGTGCCTAATCTGCTGCCTTTCAGGAGGAGGAGACTTGGCAGAGCATGAGAAAGTCCTCTCCAGGAAAGCTGAAGCAGCTCCTCTCCTCTGCCAACACTCCCCCCCCGTCTTGTTCCCAATGAGCTGCTGCCCCCCGTGGCAGATTCTGCTGAACAGAATCACAGGAGGTCTGAATGCAGCCAGCATATAGCAGTGTCCCGCCACCCCTGCAGATCCCTCCTCCATGCGACCCAAGCTTGCCACATCACAGGGGGCTCCATGTAACCCAGAGAGCAGCTGTGCCCAGAATCTATCCAGTGGTATCAAGGGGACAATTTCTGTTACAAGGCAGGCAGCTTGGCAACAGGAGAATGAGACAATTCAGAATGAAGGGTCATTTGGCCAACTGGAGGTGATCCAGACTATCCAGTGGGAGCAGCCTGGGTGTAAAAGGCCCCAGCACCTCCAAGGCCGCCATCTGCAAGGCCAATGTTTTCCCTGGGACAGCTGGTGCTCCCATCTTCACCCACTCTCTAGCCCTCCTGCCTTTGCGGCCGTGCGAGTGATCGTGGGCGCACCACGGTTCGCCCACATAACACCGATCCTCCGTGAGCTGCGCTGGCTACCTGTTG